AAAAAATAATACCGAAATCGATGTCTAACATTGCACCATTTGCGCCCTCAACCAGCACACTTTTGCCCTGTCTGCGCATATCATCAAGAGCTTCGATTGTATCGCCAACCAGTCCCATTTCATTCAGTCTATCAGCATGCTTCTGTAAACAAAGCCAATTTCTGGATGCACAACATAAAAATCCAAGAATATTAAGATCTTTTAGACAAACAAAGCCCCAGCAAAACTCTAGTATATAATATTACATACTATGACTATAGTGTGTATAAAAAAAAGAAGCAAAAGCGTATATGTGCTTTCATGCGTTAGGGCACAAAGGCGTGAAGTTATTACCAGAATTTTTGGACCCTTCCATAGCCCAGGAAAAATGATGAGAAATTTCAGCTTTTCAGTTTCATAGCTCCAGCGCCGAATCATCGCAAAAGACAAAAACACACTTACATGGTTTTACCAAACTTTTTTCTGATATTTATGAGAAAAACATACAAAAAGAAATCTCAAAAGTTGAAACCTCCTCTTGTCATTCACTTTGAATGAAAGCAGAAAGCATTAAAAGCTCGCTGATTTATAAAACACTGCCAACAGCAATCAATAAGCTGCCCCCCAAGTTCCCTTTTTCACGCACTGTTTCAAAGCAGGCTGGACAGAGTTTAACTTCTCTCTTCTCTCTCACTAGTTCACTATTTTCTATGTTTGTTCTGTTTCAGAATTCTCTTTCTTTCGCATATCCGTCTCGCAAATTAGTTACATGTCTGTTCAGTACATAGCGAGTAGGAGGCTGTACTGATGATTCCCGCTCCTATCCATATGCGTAATTCGGCCTGTGTTTACAGCTAAGGGATGAAACACAGACAGACTGCGCCGTAAAATGTCTTCTTACGACATATAAGTCCAATCCCTCTCTTCTATTACAAGTCATATCAATGCCTATTTGCCAATAAGACGAATTGCACTCATTTGAAGACTGGAGTCTCAACTTTCCTCAGTGATACTGAAAATTCGCTTAAAAAAATTTTTTTGAAATTACCTTAAATTTTGATAGCTCAAGCTCCACATCGAGTGTGAGAGCAGGATACTGTTTCTGGTAGTGATGGACCAGTTCTCGAAACCTAAAAAAATCATACCATTTCATACAACTAATAAAAATCACTGAAAAAGCAGATGCATGAAATTTTACCCTAACTTTCACTGA